TCTAGTCAGTCACCGCTCAAGAGTGAGACCTTAGCTAGTGCCCCGTGCAATATCTAGTCAGTCACCACTGAAAGAGTGAGACCTTAGCTAGTTCCCCGTGCAATGTCTAGTAAGTCAACGCTCAAGAGTGAGACCTCAGTCAGTGCACCGTGCAATGTCTAGTGATTAAATAAAGGATACAAATGAAGGACTGCGTTCAAGCTGTCTGAAGGAAAATAGTGCAACAAGGTGTGTGGAGGCTTGAAAAAGAAAGACAGGACAATAAAAGAAGAACGTTTCGGCTAAGAGCCTTCCTCAGCAGACAGGACAAATAAAGATATAACAATAAATAGAGAGTATTTAAAAAAAAAAAAACAACAAACAAACGTAAGTGTTCGCCATATTCATGTATTGCCGGAAGTTTAAAAAAAAAAAACCAAGATGACAGGAAGTGAAATAATTTATGTATTATTATTGTGTAAAATAAGATTTAAACGGACAAAAATATATTGGAAATTAGTAAAATAAAAGAAATAAGAAAAATTAATACAGTGAAATTGAGGATCACTAGTAATAGTAAGAGATTTGTTTTATTAATTCCATATGGTGATATTGTGCCGAAATCTAAATTACTTTGTTTTCCTTTCTAACTCTCATTGGTGTGTTGGTGCAGGAAATCAGTGCCGTGATGGAAACATCTGATGTCCCTATTCATCATGACAACCAACTTCAATAAGGTGCAGCTCATGCTGAACATCTTCTTTGTTCTATAGATCAACTAAGCATTGAGGGCGTGGGGTTCAAATGTAAATTCACTGCCCAAATGACGTATTCCTGATTGAATTCACGAGCGCCAATTTTGGGAGTCTTAGCGCCAACTCCCCCCCCCCCCCCCGACCAAAAAATAAATAAATAAATAAATAAATCATCTACCAAGCTTTTCAGCGCACATTCTCAAATCTACCAAGCTATTCAGCAACCCCATCGACATCCGACCGCTCCCCCCCCCCTCCTTTGGCGTTAACACCCACTGTCGGATTCACTGATGTAGTTGAAGTGTTTACACAATCTAATTAATGTGTTTAATAGAGTTGATTTGTATATCTGATCTAGTTGATGTGTGTATATGGGTTACAGTAAATTTGTTTGAAAGTAATTTCTTCGATGGAAATTTGATCGAACGGAAGTTTGGTCTAATTTTTTTTTTTAGTTCACACGATAAAATTTTCGTCAATTATCTTTTTGAATGCTCTATGCTATATAGTCAAACAAAATAATGCTCTATGCTATATAGTCAAACAAAATAATGCTCTATGCTATATAGTCAAACAAAATAATGCGTTCAAAAAGAAATTTGACGCAAAATTTTAACGTGTGAACTGATAAAAAAAAAAAAAAAATTTGACCAAACTTCCGTTTGATCAAATTTCCGTCGATCAATTTTCCGTCGACGAAATTTCTTTCAAACAAATTTCAGGATACGGTGCATATGATCAAGTTGATGACGTCATTTTGCAACTATTTGGTGCGCTCAAACTCGTCTTCGTCTTTTTAAACATGTTTTTACAAAAATATACTATATTTCTATATATTTTATTCTATCATTAACCGAGAAGGAGGCCCCGGATGTAAACAAAATGGTGGAGGAGTTCAGCGAGTAGAAACAAGGTGGGGTGCATGCTGATTTAGATGTGAAACCAACCAACCAACTCTGGAGCCCACACGTGACAAATGGTGATACGTTTGTTGACGGTGGCGTGAACTAGAAAACAAGCGTTAATATTCTGTGCGAGTCGAGCTGACGTCACCACGACACAAGATTACCAGTAATCTGGCTGTCACAGTGATGAACCTGCTTACCGGTCGTATGCTAACTCAAAACCAAGGCGGTCATCTTTGTAAACAAACAATAAGAAAAGCTATTTAAACATGGCCAGATTCTTAAGAGAAAAATAGTAGTAACTAGGCCCAACTTGAGGCTTTGAGGACCTAAATGTCCATCTTTCTCTCGTCTCTGAATGTCCATCTTTCTTTCATTTCTGAATGTTTTTTTTCATTTCTAATGCCCGTCTTTCTATCATTTGTTATTGTACATTTTCTTTCCTTTCTGAATTTCCATATTTCTATCATTTCTGAATGTCGATTTTTCTATCATTTTTGAATGTCCATCTTTCTTTCATTTCTAATGTCCATCTTTCTATCATTTGTGAATGTCCATCTTTCTTTCCTTTCTGAATGTCCATCTTTCTAACGTTTATGAATGTCCATCTTTCTAAAAATTTCTTAATGTCCATCTTTATAAAATTTCTGAATGATCTTCGTGTCCATCTTTTTATCACGTCTGAATGTCCATTTTCTATAATTTTCAAAGTCTCAATTTCTGCCTCACAGCCCCCCCCAACCACCTTTTTTTCTGATTATATGTACTGGTAGCTATATTTTTAAAGCGGAAGTGTAAACAAGGCGGTATCATCATTAAATAGAGTTATATTATATCCACTAATACAGGGACATCATCTCAGGCTTTTTTTTCAATTTAAAAAAAATAAATGTTGCGGGTGGGGGTATTACAACCGAAACCCTGTCCGCTTTTTGAGTTGTTTATCACTGGAGGCTGTCACAAGCATAGTTTATTACTGGAGGCTGTCACAGGACATAGTTTATTGCTGGAGGCTGTCACAGGACATAGTTTATTACTGGAGGCTGTCACATAACATAGTTTATTACTGGAGGCTGTCACAGGACATAGTTTATTACTGGAGGCTGTCACAGGACATAGTTTATTACTGGAGGCTGTCACAGGACATAGTTTATTACTGGAGGCTGTCACATAACATAGTTTATTACTGGAGGCTGTCACAGGACATAGTTTATTACTGGAGGCTGTCACATAACATAGTTTATTACTGGAGGCTGTCACAGGCATAGTTTATTACTGGAGGCTGTCACAGGACATAGTTTATTGCTGGAGGCTGTCACAGGACATAGTTTATTACTGGAGGCTGTCACAGGCATAGTTTATTACTGGAGGCTGTCACATAACATAGTTTATTACTGGAGGCTGTCACATAACATAGTTTATTACTGGAGGCTGTCACAGGACATAGTTTATCACTGGAGGCTGTCACAGGACATAGTTTATTACTGGAGGCTGTCACAGGACATAGTTTATTGCTGGAGTCTGTCACAGGACATAGTTTATTACTGGAGGCTGTCACAAGACATAGTTTATTGCTGGAGTCTGTCAAAGGACATAGTTTATTGCTGGAGTCTGTCACATAACATAGTTTATTACTGAGGCTGTCACAGAACATAGTTTATTACTGGAGACTGTCACAGGACAAAGTTTATTACTGGAGGTTGTCACGGGACATAGTTTAGTACTGGAGGCTGTCATATAACATAGTTTATTACTGGAGGCTGTCACAGGACATAGTTTATTACTGGGGGCTGTCATATAACATAGTTTATTACTGGAGGCTGTCACAGGACATAGTTTATTACTGGAGGCTGTCACGGGACATATTACATTATATTACAGTAGGGTTTCACCGGGTGCAGCTTTATTGACATCGGGTCCGGGTAGTCAAACTATTTAACCTTTTGACCTGAGTTCAACCGTCGCGCATGACGCTCGCTGCGTGACAGCTTGAACCAAAAAATCCGTGCAATAAATCATCTAAAGTAGTGGGAGGGCCGGTGGTGGAAACAGGAGCCGGACACACCAGAAGCAATAGAGATAGAGAAGAGCTTGTTGCTGATGGTTTCTCTCATGATTTTTAAATGACCGCCATCGAACAGTGTTTTTCAACTTTTGTCCCATTAATTTGTTGCTGCGTTTAATTTCCTGCTGTCCTAGATACTAATACCTAATAAAACTTTTTTCCCCCTTTCAAATTTAGGGGGGACGACCCCTACCTAGAGGCGTAGCGAGGGTGTTTGACGCCCGGGGACAAGATTCGCGCCCGGGGACAAGATCCATTTTAAAGCGCCCCTTTTTTTCTTTTTTTCAACTCTCAAACCCATTATTTTTACCAATAATATAATATCAAAGCACATTTTGGCGCCCCAACTAGCTTGCGCCCGGGGACATCTGCCCCCCGCCACCCCCTCGCTACGCCTCTGCCCCTACCCCCCCCCTCCTTTAACCCCCCAAAATGACGTCCATGGTTAAATATTATTCATAAGGCCAAAACTTATTCACAAGTCATCATTCTTCCATTTTAAAGCGACCCTTTTTTTCTTTTTTTCAACTCTCATACCCCGTATTTTTAACAATAATATAATATCAAATCACATTTTGGCGCCCCAACTAGCCTGCGCCCGGGGACATCTGCCCCCCGCCACCCCCTCGCTACGCCTCTGCCCCTACCCCCCCCCCTCCTTTAACCCCCCAAAATGACGTCCATGGTTAAATATTATTCATAAGGCCAAAACTTATTCACAAGTCATCATTCTCCTAGTTCCAATAGAGTAAGGTTCCTTCATCCAACTAACAAATGGACGGCATTTTGTCATTGTGCTCAAGGATCGAGGCTGCAGGAACAATCATCGGATTTCTAGTTATCGAGTTTGAAACCAATGACCGGTTATTGCTTTTGTCAAAACGATAACCGAAATGAGACCTATTTTTAAAAATCCTTAATATTAACTTTGCTTTTGTTGGTATGCTTCTACCTGGATGGTTGGTAAGATGCTGGGACGGCTAATTGACTCACTTCCCGTCAACCTATTGAACTGAAACTTGGCACATACACTCATTGCCAATGACTGCAACGTATTCTATTAAATTACCCCAACACCAAAAAATCAGTTTTCCCTTTTTTTTTCCAGGAAAAGATGAAGGAAATATGATGCCATTGATTTCACGAAATACAATTCCCAATAACTGCGCTAAATGATTTATATATATTATATGGATGGGAAGAAACATAGTCCACACGACAAGGTCCATACGAAAGATGCAACACTTCACTTCATGCAGATTTACAAAGCTCCTTGCAAGCTGTCCTAAATAGAAAGTAGAAGGAGATGAAGTGTTTCGTTACACGGGTAACGTAGCCGCCAAAGTTACGACCAACAATGCATTGCCGTTTAGCGCCAGTTCACACGATCAAAATAGCTTCAAATTTCGCGTCAAATTTGTGTATGAACGCACTATTTTGTGCGTGGTTTCTTTCTCTTTTTTTTTTGTGGGGGGAAAAATGGAAATGTTATCAAAATAGCAATTTAAAAGTTGTGATAAGGCTTCATACAAATGCATGATCACTTTTTGTCGAACTCTCTTTCTCTTGTTGCGGCCAACAATGCAGTATGCCAGTGCAAGGGTGACACTTTTTGTCGAACTCTCTCTCTCTCTCTCTCTTGTTGAAGGCAGCATTCTCTTTTTCAATGTCGCATTGCTCCAAGGCTTGGGCGGAACAACCCACAGCAGCTTGCTGCATGTCCCCTGACACATCCGCATTCTTGAGAACGGGTTTTCGCTCAGACATGATGCTTTATGCATGTGTGCTCCACGAGTTTGACAAATGAGACTCTTTCAACAACAAATATCGCAAGTGCATTTGGTGCGTTATACATGTATTTGGTGCGTTATACATGTATTTGGTGCGTTATACATGTATTTGGTGCGTTATACATGTATTTGGTGCGTTATGCATGTATTTGGTGCGTTATACTTGTATTTGGTGCGTTATACATGTATTTGGTGCGTTATGCATGTATTTGGTGCGTTATACATGTATTTGGTGCGTTATACATGTATTTGGTGCGTTATACAGTATTTTCTTTTGTTTTTCTGAAATAGTTGGTGAACTAGATCTGCGACGTGAAAGTGGGTGGGACATCAAATAGAATATGAAATAAGATCATAAAAACGGCTTATAAAGGATTGATGCGAACAACCTTGTAGCTTTAGGGTTTGTTTGCTCAGATTTGAAGGGAGAATTATCAAGATAGATATTATTATTATATGTATATATATATATATATTTAAATCTATATTATAACTTGTCATTTTTCTTTATACCGGTAAATAAAAGACTGTAAAATATTCGAACAGACTCCCCCCCCCCCAACCCCTCTGGAGTAGGCTGATAAAAACCTGAAAGATGCAAGCAGTGGTGTTAGAATAGGGGCGGAGGGGGCAACCACTACAGGTTGCCACTAGGGGCGGAGGGGGCCAACCACTACAGGTTGCCACTTAAAAACAAAAAGTTATCGGAGTTGCAGCTCTTAGGCCAACTACCACTTTTTTTTTTTTTTTTTTTTTTTTTT